CGGCGGGCGAGCGCGCTGCGTCTCCTTGCAGAGGAGCCCAGAACCTTCTCCGAGCGGGAGAGCAAGTTCACCGTCAAGTTCTTCGCCCTGCAGTTCTTCGTGCACTTCTCCTCTCTCATCTACATCGCCTTCATCCTGGGCAGGTGCGCTGCCTCTGCCCCGGGTTCGACTCCTCAGCGCCACAGAGGCAGAAAGGCCGCATGGCGCCGGCGCCCAGCCCCGCAGGAAAACGAAGGCCGGGTCGGGCTGGCCCTGGCAGGTGTTCCAGGCCCGATCCCGCAGTCCCGGGCTCCCCTCATCTCTGAGTTGGCTTCTGCTAGCAGATGGGACGGGTCTTTATAATAACGGCTTGTTCCCATCCCATACGCCCACTGGCTCTTCACGGTCATCAGATCATTGAGTCTACACAATGGCCCCAGGGACAGTGTTGTCTTAGCCTCATGTCACCGATGAGACCACTGAGGCCTAGCTTAGTTAAGAAACTCTCTCAGGGTTACACAACCAATAGGTGGTGAAGCAGAAAGTTTGGCTCTGGAGCTGAGCTCCTCAGTTGCTGTGTCTGGTCCTGTTGGAAAGCGAGAGATCTTCAGAGGGCAGGTCTCCTCCCCCCGCAGTGAGCTTTGTCACAAGATCTTCTGTGGCTGCTGCTTTTCCCGCCATCTTTAAAGTGGTCATCCTTCCCACCGTGAGAGCACCTTGGCCATGATTGACTTTAGATGCTTGTGGTCTGGCAGCCTTGATTCATAAGGACGTGGAGTTGCTGTGGGAATGAAGAGTCCCGTGTGTCCATTTCTCTGTGAGCAGCTGTCCCCTCTCCGCACGGCCCACTCCCTCCTGTGCTGGGAAGCCCGTGTGCTCCACGCAGCTCCCGTGGGCCTCACACCACCAGGCTGCAGCTGCTGCACTTAGATCACCGCTCTGCAGCTCGAACTCAGGGCCTTCCACTCCTGCTTAGCTTTCTTGGCCATGGTTGGTGTTCTACCACTTGAGCCATGTCTCCAGTCCAATATCTTGCTGGTTAATTGGAGTCTTACAGACTCTTCTCTCAGGGTTGGCTTCAAACTGCAATCTTCCAATGCTTAGCCTTCTGAGTGGTATGGATTATAGGTGTGAGCCATTGGTAGCTGGCTCTTTTTCCTTTTTTTTTTTTTTGTTGGTCATGGGCTTGAATTCTGGGCCTGGGCTCTGTCCCTGGGATCTTCAGCTCAAGGCGAGTGCTCTACCACTTGAGTCACAGCGCTACATCTGGTTTTCTGGTGAGTAACTGGAAATAAGAATCTCATGGACTTTCCTGCCTTGGCTGGCTTTGAGCCTCATTTCTCAGATCTCAGCTCCTGTGTAGCTAAGGTTACTGGAGTACTGGGGCCCATCTTTCTTTTTTCCCTTTTTACTGGTAATTTACACCTTTATTCTTTTTGTTGTTGTTGTTCTTTTTTTAAATTTTCGGGGCCCTGGTTTTGTTTTTAAGACAGGGTCTTCCCCTGTCTTCCAGGCTGGTGTAGAACTCGAGAGCTTCTGTCTCAGCCTCTCTCTCTCATGCTGGGTTAAAGGTGTGCACCACCACACCGGGCGAGTTCACAAGTTTCCACTGTCTGCGACTGATTGCTCCTCTCCTCTCGTTTCTCCCCTCCTGCATGGTTTTTTTCTCCCTTTCCTTTTCTACTCTCCTCTCTTCTCCTTCCTCCCCCTCCTCCTTCCCCCTTCTCCTCCTCTCCTTCCCCTTTCCCCTTTCGTCTCCCCTTCCCCTCCCCTCTCCCTTCTTCTTCTCCTCCTCTTTCTTTTCCTTCCCTTCTTCCCCTTCCCCTCCTCTTCCTCCCACTACCTTTCTCTCCCCTCTAGCTAGCCCCCTTCCCTTGCTAGACAGACACTTGGGCCTTGGTCCCTAGTAGAGGGTATGCATGCCGGTGTGTGTACCGTGTCACAGAAAACAGGAAACTTTAAACATAAACTTACCATATGTACAGTTTCTCTAGGGATAGAGACCAACTCAGCTCTCCTGTCTGCAGAGTGTGTCTGAGCCTGTGGGGCCTGCATGAGGCTGGGCTTGTGTGCTGTCCTGCAGGCCCTCAGGATGAGGCTGGGCTTGTGTGCTGCCCTGCAGGCCCTCAGGATGAGGCTGGGCTTGTGTGCTGCCCTGCAGGCCCTCAGGATGAGGCTGGGCTTGTGCTGCCCTGCAGGCCCGCAGGAGAGTTAGGTGCCACGTTGTTTGTCTCACGGGCACTGCAGCCTCAGCAGGGTGCCGGCCTGCCTCCTCCCACACCTCACTTTCCACCCCAGGATCAACGGCCACCCTGGGAAGTCCACACGCCTGGCGGGTCTGTGGAAGCTAGAGGAGGTCAGTGTGGCGTCTTCCTGTGTCCGGGCCCTCCTGTGTCCAGGCCCTCCTTCTGAAGCCCTCCCCTGATCTCCTCTGGCCCCACAGTGCCATCTCAGCGGCTGCATGATGGACCTGTTTGTGCAGATGGCCATCATCATGGGTCTGAAGCAAACACTGAGCAATTGCATGGAGTACCTGGGCCCGTGAGGAAGGCCTCTGCCCATCCCCACCCGGCCCCGCCCGCCTGCCCTCCCCTCCGTCCCCGCCTGCAGGTCTTCACCCCTCCTGTCCCTCAGGTGGCTGGCCCACAAGTGCCGTACCATGTGGACCGTCAAGCGCAACTTTGGGGCCCACGAGCCCGAGCTGCAGGAGTGGCGACGCAACTACCTCCTGAACCCCATTACCACCTTCAGCCTGTTTGACGAGTTCATGGAAATGAGTGTGTGGTGGGGGCGTGGGGGGCGTGGGGAAGGAGGAGGGTGTGGGGGAGGAGGGGGGCATGGGGGCGTGGGGGCTTCCGAGCCCTGACCCACACCGAGGTGTCCGCCTCACAGTGATCCAGTACGGCTTCACCACCATCTTCGTGGCTGCTTTTCCGCTGGCACCGCTGCTTGCGCTCTTCAGCAATCTGGTGGAGATCCGCCTGGACGCCATCAAGATGGTCCGGCTGCAGCGGCGCCTGGTGGCCCGCAAGGCCAAGGACATCGGTGGGTCAGGCCGGCAGGGTGGGCGAGGGGGCGGGTGCTGGGGTGCAGCGGCCAGCGGCAGGCTCTGCGCTCTGCGCAGCGGGGCCTGGGACCGCGCTCATCTGTTGTAGCTCAAGCCTGTGCCCGATGGTCCTGAGGCTCTACTCCTCCACCCAGACAGCCGTTCCACCTACGGGGCTGCCAAGGTTGAGGGCTGAGTCTGGGAAGCCCAGTCCCCGGTGGGGGGGTGCCTGGGACCAAAAGGTCCTGCTAAGGAGTTCAGGAGGAAGATGGGGGACAAGATCCCCCAGTCCCTCCCCCCCACCGCCCCCGTTTATGCCAGGGTGAAGGACTGCAGGAGGCACAGCACTGTATCTGCCTTGGCTGGGGATTTCCGAATGAGAAACTTCACCCACTGCTGCACTGGGGTGTTGTGGGCAGAGTGCCACAGGCCCTCGGCCAGGCGGGCTGCCGGCCTCTGGGGACTGGACCAGGCTGCGGAGCGGGCTGCCTCGGCCCTGACAGCCTCTCCCCGCTGCTCTGGCCCAGGGACCTGGCTGCAGGTGCTGGAGACCATCGGCGTCCTGGCTGTCATCACCAACGGGATGGTCATAGCCTTCACCTCTGAGTTCATCCCCCGCATGGTCTACAAGTACCGCTATGGCCCATGCCACCCCGGCTCCAACTCTACAGAAGAGTAAGGCCTCACACACTGAGAGTTCCCCCAAGAAACCAGCCCCGAGGAGCCCAAGCCCTCCCTGCCGGGAATGGCCGGACACTGCCTGTGCTATGTGGGGCTATAGTGCAGCTGGAGCTGGGGCTTCCTTGCCCTGCCCACACTGACCTTTAGCCCCTCGGCTAGAGCCTGTTGGGATGGAGGCCTGGAGTACAGCTGCCGCTGAATGGTTCACAAGGGGACCCGGCAGAGCCATGCCTAGCTCCTTTCCTTGCAGATTGGGTCTCCTGGAGCAGCTCCAGGAGTGTTCCCCAGACTCTGGGGGAGGGGGAGACAGTTGGTGGTACCCCAGCAGACTCAGCACCCATAGTGCCTGCTCCAATTGTCCCCAGACTCAGTGGGTCTCTGACAAGTGCTTCAGGCCCCCAGGGGGCCCTGCTAGCCCCCCATGTTCTGAGAAGTGCTTCAGGCCCCAGGGGCCCTGCTAGCCCCCCCTCCTGTCTTTGCAGCTGCCTCAAGGGCTATGTCAACCACAGCCTGTCTGTTTTCCACATCAAGGACTTCCAGGACCCAATCATGAAAGAGGGCTGGGAAAACGTGACCAAGTGCAGGTCTGGAACCTTCTTCTCACCCTTCCCCCTAGGTTGCCCTTGGTTGCCCTCCTGACCCCTGACCTCAGGTTCCTCCCTCCTTCAGGTACCGGGACTACCGCAATGCCCACGACTACAACCTCTCTGAGCAGTTCTGGTTTCTCCTGGCCATCCGCCTAGCTTTCGTCATCCTCTTCGAGGTGAGTGGAAGTGAGGAGAGGTGGAGGTGGCGGGCAGGCAGCTCTCTTCGCCGACCCCCAAAGGTCCTGTTTAGCCCTTGTCCTTACTGGGCCTCCTGGGCCCCCCATCTGCAGCATGTGGCCTTGTGCGTCAAGCTCATCGCGGCGTGGTTTGTGCCGGACACGCCCCAGTTGGTGAAGAACACTGTGCTAGACAAGAAGTACAAGACGCTTCAGGAGAAGTACAAGACGCTTCGGGAGAAGAACCAGACACTTCAGAAAATGTGGTAGGGCTGGCTGGGCTGGGGCAGGCGCTGGGGAAGGTCCTCAGAGGATCCACCCTTTGACCTTACCTGCCCACCCACTCACCGGCAGGCCCAGCTCCAGGAGCACAGAGGTGTAGACAGCCAGCCCTGAACAAAGGGAGAGGAGCCTGGGCACCAGCTCCCACGTCCACAGCCTGACCCTGACCGCGGCCTGCCGTGGGAGCTGTGAGAAAGCCCGGGTGTGGGATCCTGGGAGGCCCGTGTCTACATGGGTGGCCCTGGAGGCTGCGTACGTGTGGGTGGTTATTGGAGTCCTTGAATAAAGGTGGTATACCTGGCACGTCCAAGGAAGCCCTGGGCAGCTTCTACAGCTGCGTCGTCGGAGTTCTGTGTGTTTGAGGCACTGGTGTCCCTGTGGCATCTGCCCCATTTCTCTGGGTGTCCAAGTTCCCATAGACCCAGGGTGTGGGCTTCGAGCAGGCCAAAGCAGGAAGAGTTCTCAGGGCCTTCCTCTGCCGGCCCCCGGCCCCCTGCGGCCAGCTGGCCCCTCCAGCCCCCGGCCCCCTGCGGCCAGCTGGCCCTCGGCTGGGCTCCCCTCCCCCTGGAAGCCCTGGCCGTGCTCAGCGGCCAGAACCTTCTATCATAAAACTAAGCTTATCTGGGTTGGCTGCTGAGCCTGCTGCTGCAGGAGAAACAAGCTTTCCAGGTCACATCTGCTCTGTGCTAGATGGCCAGAGAATGGCCGGGTCTGGAATGTTCCAGGTGAGGGGCCTCTCCTTGAAGGAGGTCCCTGCTCCAGCCCGAGGCTGTGGGGTGAGCGAGGCCCCCCTGACCCCCAGGCTGTGGGTGAGCGAGGCCCCCCTGACCCCCAGGCTGTGGGTAAGCGAGGCCCCCCCACCCCCAGGCTGCGGGTGAGCGAGGCCCCCCCACCCCCAGGCTGTGGGTGAGTGAGGCCCCCTGACCCCCAGGCTGCGGGTGAGCGAGGACCCCCACCTCCAGGCTGTGGGTGAGCGAGGCCCCCC